ACGTTGGCCTGGAACGCGGCCAGGTGTGGGGCATCCACAACCTCTCTGGGCAACCTGTTCCACTGCCTCACCACTGTCACAGTAAATGACTTCTTCCTTATATCTAATCTAAATCTACCCTCCTCCATCTTAAAACCATTGCCTCTTGTAAACAATCCCTCTCCAGCCTTTCTTGTAGGCCCTTTTAGGTACTGGAAGGCTGCTATAAGGTCTCCCCAGAGCCTTCTCTTCTCCAGACTAAGCAACCCCAACTCTCTCCGCCTGTCCTCATAGGAGAGGTGCTCCAGCCCTCTGATCATCTTCATGGCCCTCCTCTGGACTTGCTCCAACAGCTCCATGTCTTGTACTGGGGACCCCAGAGCTGGATGTAGTACTCCAGGTGGGGTCTCACTAGAGCAAAATAGAAGGGGGAGAATTGCCTCACTTGACCTGCTGGTCATGCTTCTTTTGATGCAGCCCAGGATACAGTTGGCTTTCTGGGCTGCAGGATTATGAAATACAAGTGACTGGAGTATTTTATAATGAAACAAACCCTTATCTTAATATTGTGGGTGTTTTTTTAATAAAGGCTAGAACACGAAAAGATTCTTGAAGAAAAAGCAAGCCTGCAGGATGATTATGACAATTTGCAGGAAGTAGCGAAGTTTGAGACAGATCAGCTGAAGCAACAACTTGAAGACCAAAAACAAGAAGCAGAAGCAATGAAAACTGAGCTTTGTGTAAGAAAGTCAAGGCTTTTAAGGGACTTCATTATACAGTTACTCATATAGCCAGATTATTTAATTCCTGTTATTGTATCATTGATAATAGATTCCACAGTAATAATAAGTTTCCTGGTGATCTCATTTAGAAGATGTACCCAGAATTTTTTTTAAAAAACTTACTGCAAGATTTTTGCAACCGCAGGCTACAAGAAATATCCAATAGCATGATGAAGTAGTAGGTATTTTGGCTGAAGAAATTGCTCTGGAAATGTTGAGGGAGATGGGTTAATTAGTAAAGGAATAAGAAACTGCTTTGGAAAAGAATCCTGACATTGAAATGCTGGTGACCTTTTATCTTGATGCTAGCTAAGACTAGCTTACTTATTCTGTCTTTACAAAGGAGTTTCTTAACAATTTTCATAGTGGATGTGATCTTGTTAAAATAATCTATGCCTTTTTTGTGGTGGATCACTGTCCTGCAATTTAGTTGATGCTGTCCTTGAAAGCCTGTCAGACTGCAGTGACTGCAAAACAGCAGTAAGGTTGCTCAAGGGCTTTTGCAAATGATTTTGCCTGCTTTTCTGCAGTGTACACTGTGCCTGCTCAGCAAGTTTGCTACAACTTTTCCCTTTTACTGTTTAGAGGAATACTGACAGACTGAAAATTATCATTTTAACTTCCTTATAGTGTAATATCTTGAACTGCTGGTTAGAATTTGAAAAATCCCCCCAAATTAATCTACAGTTGAAAATTCTAATTTCTCCCTTTAAAGGCTTGGATACTGAGGAACGTTATAGCTGTGTGAAATTATTATCAATGGCAGGTGCAAAGAGCTGATTGCTTAATACGAATAGGTGTTTACTTTTGAACTTGTCCAGGACAAAGCTAAAGATATTTCTGTTTCCATTTAAGGTTTGGGGGGAGGGGCATCAGTCATCTTAAGAGTTTGTTTAGATTTTTATTTTGGTTTAAATTATTCTGAAGACCTCATATTGTAACTTGTTATAACAACATATATTTTGATATCCTAGAACCTTTTGAAACTTCTGAAAACAGAAAAAGAACATAATGAAAAACTAACATTACAATTACAAGAAGACAAAGAAAACAATTCAAAGTAAGTTTTAATTAGTGGCAGAGTTTTATTTTCATCTGACTTCACTGGTTTCGTCCTACGCTAGGTTTTTTATTCAAATGGGGATATTGTTTGTAGAGGTGTTTTTCACCAGCTGGGTGGAGATAATTACATAATGGGCTTTTTATTTTATCCAACTTAGAACAACACTTCATTTGAATGTAGTCAATTAACATGACACATGTAACTTCATTACAAGTATAGTTCTTCGTGTCAAAGATAAAGTTCCACTACTGGTAGCAGTGTATGGCTAGTAACTAAACTATTAGTCTTTTATAAAGCACTGAGAAGGTGATAGTTAAAGAACCCTTCAGAAAATTAAGTGCAAATAAGAATAAACTTACATGACTTGATTCTTGTTAAAGCTCTCTTATGTTCTGATTATATTTCTCACTAGAAATATGTTTTCTTCTCCAGGGAGCTCTTGAAAATACTTGAAAAAGCACAGGTGGAGAAACCATCCTCTGAAATGGTGACACACTGTGAGCAGCAGGTACAACAGCAGAACTGAATGTCTAAATCATGTGTTCATGGATTTTCTTGTGCATTAATAGCAATTTATCAGTGAACTGATGTTCTATAGGTTACCAGCAAAATTAAATTTAGAGTTTTCAAGTTTCAGATTGTTTTGTTAAGCTACTGTTTAATTTTTCTGGTAAGGTAAGCACCTTAGTTCCTTCCATTTTTTTCATGGCTTTGTGCTTTACAAAACATACTTCAAAAGTAATTAAGTCTTTTCTTCACAATTATTATTTCTTCTAGGAAACAAAACTGCGGAAATTGGAACAGGACCTGGCTGCTGCTGAAGAGATTATTGTTTCTTTGAAGAAGACAAATGATACAGATAAGGTTTGAGCTTATTTCTGTTACTTATACCCAGTTTTGTGGGTAACTGTGTTTTGTAGTAGTTGAATGCCCAGAGCCTTTTTATGATAGTAATTCTATGCTTCTAGGCAATCCTGGCTGTGTATCTAGGCAAAATAAATCCTACCTTTTACTGGCATGGAGTTGGTAGGGTAGTAGGAAACTGGTATGCATTCAGAGAAAACACAAGATAATTGAAGGTTAAACAAAAAAAAGAAATCAAGGTAAAGCTGTCAATTGGACAAAACATTCGATGCATAATTCCCCTGATGATTAATAGGACCTTCCAGTCAGTGCCATGTTGTAATGGGGTAATAGAAAAGGTACAAAGGGTGATGTAAGAATGTGACTGTGGGTATCTTTATTAATAAAATCAAAGCACTTTTACATGAAAAGATTGCTCCAGTGTTCTGAAAGCTTAAATAGCAAGTTCACATTGTACAAGTATTTATGCTGTACTTAAAACAAGCATAAGAAATAACACAGTTTGTTTGCTATCCAGCATGATGCATTGATAATCTTGCTTTTTCCATGCTAAAACCAAAAATTTTACATGTATAAGGTCAAGAGAATCTGGTATTGTCAGTGCAGTAGTGTTTTTTGAATGTGGCTTTTTCCATTACGAACAAATGTAACCTTAAACTATAGTACTTCTATTCTCCTATTAGAATCCCATAATAGCCTGAGACTAAATCAGAGGGCTAGTCTTCTAACGAACACAGCAGGTTATTTAATTCTTTATGTAACTGCTTAGAACAAAAGCCAATGATTTAATAACAAATTAACTGGTCCTCCTTTACGTTTGCGTATTGAGGCCTCATTTTCAAATAGTTGGTTGAAATTTGGGATGGACAAATTAGACGCTAAAGAAAATACAGTAATAAAATGTATATAAGATATATAGATATAGATATATACTGTATCAGGATTAACTTTTTTTATGTTGCAGGAGGTTGTAACTGACTTGATGAAACAGATCCAGGAGCTGAGGTCTTCAAATAATCATAAGAAAGAGTCTATAGATGGGCTGACAAGAGAGCTCGAGGATATAAATGTATGTTCTGTCATTTTGAAGGACATGGTATAGTTTTTCAGAAATGGAAGGCAATGACATGTCTTATCATGGGTCTCAAACAGCATAAGTCGCTGTAGCATTATAGAAGGAAACTTCTTTGTTTTGACATGTTGAAATCTTCTGAACATTTTATGCCTAAGGCTGTCTTGAAAACTGAACTCTTTCCACGTGGTGGGTAAAGAGCAATATCTCTAAAGGGACCTATTCACATCCTGTAAACTGCACTCAGCTGACAGTCACATTTAGATTTTCTGAGAAATTGGCAATTTAAGACCTCAATAATTGAAGCTGAATTGTAAATTCATTTTCGAGGGAGTGAATTTTTATGTTGTTGATATTACTATGTTCTACATCTGAAAACATAAATATAAAGAACTAAAACTATCTATTTGAATAACTATGAATAAATATGATGCATTTTTATTAAAATAGGTCTGGTTTGCAAACTGATACAGCAACCCAAAGAATGCTTTAGATAATGTATATGTATGAGCTATGTATTCAAAAGGTCCTACAGACAAAATGTTAAGACAGATTTATACATATGGTTATCTGTTTTTTAATAATGGTTTTAGTGGTTAATATGTATTGTGGTGACTAATACATATTAAATTAATAATCTTTCCATTGTTTTGACAAGTCATTTCTAGTAACATAATTTGTACAATTTAGCAAGTATGATAAATCATTCTGATTTTAGTCATTGGCACTGGTATTTTAAATGTTTGTAGTTGTCATCATAAGATTTGTGATACACATTTATTTATATTATGTTTGCCAACTTTCCTTGATAACTTGTTTTCCTAAAATATTCTAAAACTTAATTTAATACTTTTTGTAGTGCAAGTATAATCTTGTTCTGGCTGCAAAAGAAGAAAGCAAAGGAATCATAGAGGATCAGGAAAAAAAGATTGAAGAACTGAGGGAAGCCTTGGAGAGAAGACAAATAGCTGATAACATTGAGGTAAAAGCATTAATGGTGGTGTATTATGATTATATGTTCAACAGACTAATTGGATGTGGTTTTGCTTAAAATACTTGTGTAAAAATTTAACCTCATTTTAGTTCAAACTATAGTTAGTTAAGCTGTTCTTAAAGGAACGTTTCATGAGATACCTGACAAATTCTGTTAAATTAACACATTACTTGACATAAATATTTTATAAGCTACTTCATAAAAACCCATGCTAAAAGCCTGGTTTAATTTTGTTAAGGCCACTAAGGAGTCATCAACTGAATTTAATGGCAGCATTAGATGATGCAGCTGAGAAATAAAAATAGGTAGAATATATGTGTTTAACATTATCTCTTCCCCCACTGCTATATTCAGTAACATCTTTTCTTTACTCATAATTTTAAGTAAAAGCTCCACCTGCTGGAAACAGATTTAGGATGCATTGTTGATTCAACTGCAGTTTTGCTTTTTAAAAAGCAGAGTTTTTTAACTCTGTCTTTCCTGTTACTGCTCTCACTGTTATTTTGGTGAACATGTCCATCAGGCAAAGCCACTTGCCTCTCCTTACAAGTAATTGCTACAAGATCATCTGTCATATTAGATATGCTTAGTCCAATCATATAGCACCAATAATGTCTTCCAGAGTAGTGTTTGCTTCTCAAAACCCATTCTTAAATAGATTTCCACTATGTTTAATAAACAGACTATCTTCATTAATAATAATATCTAATTTTGACATTCTGGAACCCAAAACTCAGTCACCTGCCAAATAGATCACTTTGTTTTATTTTTTTTAAACTGAAGTAACAATTCTTACTCCAATGTTATCCTTGGGTGTATCTGTCTCCTGATAAAATCATAGGGTTTCTCCTTCTTTGACTTTATACATCAGTTACTAATTTCCTTCATGCTTTCTTGACTGGACAAGAAGAACTAATCCAAGGTGGCATTTAAAATACTAAGTACTGTTTGTTCTTCTAGCTTAACACACCTCATATAGGTATGATGCCCCATCAGACAGGATGGGAGTCTAGATCCTAGAATGAATCCGGAGGCATCTGCAGAATAGCAGTGTACTGAAAAAAGCTGTAATCACTAATTCAGCATGGATTAAAATCTATACAAGCCATTAACCAGTGGTCGATTCCAAATGCCTCGCACAAGTATCTAACTGTAACTACACTGTAGGAAAGTTCTCATTTTTGTTCTGCAACCAAGACAATGGATATGGAAAATGTGCTAAAATAAATTTATCAATGAATGCTTGCTACAATTCATGACAAAAAAGTGGAGGGAAAAGGGAGATGCTTGTAGCTGTTAATCTTAGCAGCAATGACAAAACATCTTGGAACAACTGCTTTAGAGCAATAACTTTAACATTTCTTTCTTTACTCATCCAATGACTTAAAATAGAGAGACCTTCTGTGTGAGGACTTGCATCATACCACTGATCAGCTGATAAGACTGACAGAGGCCTCTAAGAAACATGATTCATTGCTTCGGTGTGTGCAGGAAGACATAACAAAGAAAGAAGCTCTAATCCAGGAACTCAGGGAACAGGTATAACAAGGCAATTCTTCTGATAATTAGCTCCTTGGGAGGGAGCTGCAGTTAATTGTAGCTTCTAGAAAATGTTGTAATTTTAGAGCATCTTGTACATGGTGGTTTTGGTGAAGAGCAATGCTCCTTCCAGAAAAAGCAAAGTAGTATTTCAAAAGCTTCTGAACAAAGGCTAGATAATTTTTTGAATACTCTGGAAATAGTGTCTAGAGATTGCAAAAATGTTTACTCTGAAAGCAGAGTAAAAATTATCAGTACCTACAATGACAGCAACTTCAGGTTATAAGCAGTGTAACCTAGGGGATTACTTTTCCTCTGCTTAACACTTATCCATAAGCAATATAATTATGTAATGGAGATAATTGTTGAGCTCTAAATTGTGCAGTCTGAGAGTGATTTGGAGTTTTTGCAGACCAAATAGCTATGTTCAGCCTTTGTCCAAATTTTAGTGCTAGTTGTCACAACTGTCATAGTGCTAATTAATATATTTTTGTTGGCAAAAACTCTAATAAGGATAGGTTATTTTGGAAAGAAGAGTCCTTTTGTTGTGTTAGCATATTCTCTTGAGGAAACGTTAAATCTATATCAGTAAAATCTTTGTATCAAATCACGTTTGTCAACAAAGTTTGTAATGGCTTGCTAGCAGAGAAAAACTCTTTGAAAGGTAGATTGTGTTAGCAAGGCAAAAAAAAAACAAATATCAACAAGAACAAAATTCAGATTAGCTCTACAGTATATAGTGTATATATGCTTCAAAAATACTTGTTACATGCAACTATTGAATGATTAACAGTTATTAGGTAAATGTAGAAAACAATTATAAAAGTGAAGTCTAAAGTAATTAAAATAACTTGTGGTGTACTTAAGCTTGCTCAAAATAGAGATCTGGTTGCTGGTTTAATATTTTGTGTGTATTATGAGCTAATTTAATTCTAACTGGGGTTTCTAATAGTTGGACAAAAAGACAGAAGAACTGGAGAAGAGGAAGAATGAATATGAACTAAAAATGAAGCAGATAGATTGCTTTGTGGACTCATCTGCAGTAACATTTCCCGAGGTATGGCATTTGTAAGAGAAACATTTTTATTGTAATGACTGTTAAAACTCATTGAAAAGGACTAATAAACTTTACAGCATGGCTTCAGGCTAGGACCAGAGATGACAGTGTGTTGAGAATGGTCAAATCCCATTCACTCTTTGTAACTTAAATGTATTATTAATGATCTGTCTGCCAGGAATTTATTAACATATGTCTCCAATTAAGTATTAAAACATGTAACCAATACATAGGGGAAACAGTTCTTTACTAATAGTTTGTGGGTTTTGTTTCTTTTAACTTACCAGTGTCCAAAAACTCCTCCTAAATTTGATGTGAATTTGGCAAAGCTCTTGGAAACTCATGAACAAGAAATAGCTGATCGGAGGGCTTCTGCAATAAATCTGGAGCACCTTGTACATGAACTGAATGAAGAACGAAGAGCTAAAAATAATGAAATTCTAAGGCTGAAGGTACTACGAGTAAATCTCTACAGGCAATCTGTAACATTAAAATAAGACAGAATACAGAGTTCATATTTTTAATGAGCTCTGCGTAGTAGTCTGTCCGTTAAAGCAGGAAGGCAGTTCTTGGTTTTCTCTTTACCTAGGCTGGTAACAAATGGTGACAATTTGCTTGAGATGTCCATGTATCTTGTTTTCCCAAGAACTGAGTCGTTTCCTGTTCATGAATATCAAATGGTAACATCATTTTTGCTGAAGAAACTGTACTGATTTATTCTAACTCAAGTTTCTAATGAAACTGTAAATGGAAGCGTAATGCAGATCTTTGCCAGAGAACTGTACTTGTTTTCTGACAAATAGTTTTGTCTTCTATTTTACTCAAAAACATGTTCAACTGGAAAACAGGAATTGCAATTTGGTCTTCAAATAAAATGTCTCCAATTTCACTTGCTTAGGAACAATTAAGTGAGTTGGAGAACTTGCGTCTGGAAATGCAGATATTGGTGGAGAACAACAGGAATTTACAGAGCCTTGTAGAAGCTCAGAGACTAAGCAAGAACAGGTAAAGTAAAATTAAAAAAACCTGTCTTAACTTGAATCATTTAAGAAAGATACACAAATATACAGGTTTTATTTTAAATACAATCTTACATATTGTTTAATTAGAGATTGGCTTAGCCTTTTCTATGAAAATTGTTTACTGGCTTGTAAACTTTATTGCCTTTAAATCACAAATTCTTAAATACAGCACAGTTTTTTATAAAGGGAAGGGAAATAGAATGTAAAATAATTACATGCATAGACATTGCTGTATATTTTATATTACCATATTACTTGTGCAGATATAGATTCAGTAGATAGGAAATGTCCAAGTGAATTCAACCCAAGTTTTAACATAGATGTAAATGGAACCAGGTCTCTACCTCGTATTTTTGAGGGTAAGGAATTAACTTCCTCTGAAAAGATGGTACGCTGCTGTATACTTCAGACTGGGAGATATCCTGAGGTTTGGTTCAAACCGTAATCTGTACAGCTTAGTTTTGGACAGAAAATATTTTGTTTCATGGCTTACCTTTTTTTGGTTTTTCTTTGTTTTCAGTTTTGTAAAGAATTAAATTATCTGCTGGCTTACATTTTGTGAAAAGAAATCTTAACTGGCAGCAAATAATTCTGCCTATTTAATGACAATTCATTTTTAAAGGGCAACTTAGTAAACAGTAACTTAATGCTAGATAGGATGTTAATCTTTTTTTTTGCCTATTAGATGTATCGGTAAATATCTTCCAGAACTTCTGTCTCTATTCAACGAAGTGTCAGTGTTGTCAGTTTTAGAACTGATTTTTTGGTAAGATAAGTATTTAATGTAAAAGAACACTATTAAATTTGCAAAATTAAGTATTCCAATTAGAAGATGCTGTAACTGCAGGTGCCTATGCAACTCCAGTTTGTCATTGCGTTATGTATATTATACATTAATCTTCAATTATGAATGGATTCATTTGTAGAAAATATTCTGTGCAGAAGGCCGCCCTGGTGGGTCAGATCATACTGAGTTATGATGTTGTCTCTAGGGCCTTCTGCTTTCTTTGCAACAGACATTTGAAAGCGTGTTGTGAATTGAAATGGAAATCACAGAAAAACAAGAAGGGATTACCTTGACATGCAAAACTGGATTCTGTGGCCTTGTTTTTCACACAGGTTATGGAGTAGGTTACTTGGACCAAACTTTTCACAGAAAAGCATTACTTTTATGTTCCTCATTTGCTGGATTCCCAACTTGGGACCTTGGGATATAACTTGGATAAGCATTAACAATTTCCAGTTGTTGTTAGTTGACAGAAGTTGTGGTTTGAATAGACTGAAGGCTAATAGTATATTGCATGCTCTCTGAAAAATCAGGTTTAGGTATCTCAGATGGGGATATTTACAACAGACACATGCCTCGTACAGCACGGGAGCAGCTGATAGCAGCAGGTAGTAATCATCTTTTGTGTGGCCCAGTGTTAGTGAGAGATGGTTTGATTGTCGGTGTCACACATGACAAAGTAAGGAGATGTGAGGATCTTGGACTGCATCAGAGGATGTTTGAGAATACAAGATGAGATCAAGTGCCTGCTCTCTTTTGGTATCTGGTGTCAGGGCAGGGAAGAGCACGCTGTAGAGAAAAGGTCAGCCTTCGCCTCTGTACTGCGAAGCTGGAGCAGGCTCAGTTCACTACTTTGGAGTTGGTACAGGCTGACTAGTACTAGAATTTGAAAGGCTCGAGCATAACCAATGATTCTAACCTTGGAGGTTTTAAAGTTAGTGTAAGTATCCACTAGGAATAAGTAAACAAAGCGTGTTGCAGTTTTGTCCAACCATTTATAAGCTGGATGAATTTGGGTAGATTTTGGAAGTGGGTGGTACCAAAATTTAACAAGGAAAATAGATTATTTTTATTATAGTTCTCAGAATTTGTTAGACTTTTTAACCTGGCATTTAATTAACATAAAAAAAAAACCCCACCAAACCACCCACACATAGACACACTTACTCTCTGTCTGAGACTGTTTATACTAGATAGGAAGAATAAACTGCCCTAGCTAGGGATGTTGACAAAGATTTTAAGTTACTGAAAATATCAAGGTTTAAACATCCAGAGTTGTTTTATGATGTTCAGTATTCTGAGTATGAACATGTGTCAAGACAGCTACACACATTTACTAGTTTAATCTGGGTAAGAATGTTGTTTTTACAACTGGTTTCCTTTGTTTGTGAGAAACCTTCCTTATTCTTGGATATCCTAGTGATCAGAAACATCCTGATGTTCAGTACCTTGAAGAGAAAGAGGAGGAGATTGCTGAGGAACGACTTGCCAAGGTATATTGCCCTTCTCAGGTCAGTTGCTGTTTCCCTGCTGTGAAGTATTAACATGTTTTCTTCTATTTCATGGCAGTGAAACACTGATTTCTAGTGAATTCTATCAGGCACAGAGCCTGATACTTCTCTCTTAAGGTTTCTGTCTTGGTCTTACACCAATGAACTGTGTGTCAGCTTCCACAATAAGCAAAACCAGATTCAGATCACTAAATCTGACATTTCCACAGAGTTGGAAAGTGAAGATTGTGTCACTTGCTAATGTCAAGGCTCTGCTAAAGGGAAGTTAACGTCGCTGCGGAGGTTGCCGTTGATCTCAGACAGAAGAGCCCCCTGTTAGAACTCTGCCGTGTATGAATGGGCAGAGATGTTGCTGTGGGTCACTTGTGCTGGCATGAAACTGGAAATCCATGCATGAACTTACAGTGAATATTAGAGATGTGAGTTACTGGGCAGTAGGATGATTGTGGTAGGAATGAGATACGTAGCATCAGTTAAGTGACAAATAATTTAAAAAAAATGGATGTATATTAAACGTTAAGAATGTAACTAATATTTTTTAACTTTTACAGAATAAAGCAATAGAGGAGATGCTGAAAATCAAAGCAGAGTAAGTTTAAATATTGTTCATTGAACTGGAGACTTGTATTAAACTCATTAATACCAAAAAGGTATATTTAAGCAATAGAAGTCCAAGGTCTGGAAGTATAAAAGTTGTAGTTTGGAAATGTTGTTTACACTTCTGTGAGACACGTTGAGTTCTTACTCTTTCTCATCAGTAGGTGGTAGTAGCACCTATTACTACATTTTCTAAAAAGGTAGCATTATATCAGGAAAAACCTCTGAAAAAGGTGGAACTGTAGAAAAACTTAAATTGGAAGGGATGTTTTTATTTGTTTAAAATCATCTATGCCATAGGATTTTGAATTCTTTTATATGCACTGAATTATAAGCATATTCCTTTTCAAATGAAATTGAAATACTGTTCACTTCTTTATTAATTTTGTAAATATTTTCTAATTTTAAAATTAATCTCATTTTTTGCTCTTTTATGCTATTTATTTTTTGCGCTTCAATAATGAAAATTGCTCGTTATTAGAGGACTCATAGATAGTGTTTGCATTATTGTGCAAGTAGTCTTAGAAATACAAGTGTATTGCACCTTGAATGGGTAATAGTAAAGAAGTAAAATACTGAAAATAGTAGATAAAAATTAGGTTGAAAATGTCAACCCTATTATTCTTTTCCTAATCTGTATTGCTTTCAGGATTCATAGTGGCTGAATCTCCTAATATTTGAGTTATTTACACTTAATAGCATGCTTTCTATGCAAATAACTTAGAAAGATGAAGACAACTTTTATGAGCATGATCATTTCAAAATTAATTCCATACTAAATTTTACAGAAGCCCTAGTCTTGATTAGGGGTTCTCTTGATATTTGATGCATTGAGTTTTCATACCTGTCTGGTCTTTGAAATAGACTTTTATAGTAGTGTTAGTCTCATACAAACAAATAATGCGCAAAGACGAAAAAGATTCTTTTGTTCATCAGGAAAATGTCTTGACAAATGCAGTAAGTGAATACTGTTTTCATACAGTAAGTTTTAAACACCAGGCTTCAGCGAAACAAAACCGATGACAAAAATATTTTAATTTAGAGTTTAATTTTGAATAGACATGCAAAACGACTAGAATTCATACCATCAGTAGACAAGCTGCTAACTTTGATGGCATGGTTTAATATTCTGTGAGCCTGACAGAATTAAAACATTTTCAGCAAACAAGACTTCTATCCATGGTGGCGGTCCTTCTGTTACCAGGCCAAACAGGCTCAGACTATCTCTGAGATGTTCCTGAGCAACAAGGCTACTGGGGAAAAGCCATATACAAATAAGCGGTTTAGGGGAAACTTGAAGAGCAGCAGAGTTCATCTGGCACGTTTACATGCCTCAGATGAATTCTTAGTGTTCTTGTAGGTGACACGTCTGCTTTCTTTCATGAGTGGACTTGTACGAAAACAGCATACTTCCCAAAAAAAAGCAGCAACTCCAAAACACCGACTGGTTAAGAGATTGTATCAAACTCAAGAGCTGTGAAGCAGCACGTAATTTTTCCTTCTGTTAGCACTGAGTTCTAGGGAAAATAATTTGTCTTAAAAGGATATTTTTAGAAGAGACTGCCTGCATGTCCAAGGATGACTTACTAATTCAGTTGTATGTCATTTATGTTGGATTTTAATATTGTATGATGCTTTTATATTGGCAGATTAGAAGAGACCAAAAATACTCTCAAAATCAAAGAGAATGCTTGTCTTGAAATTACTCTGGAGATGGAACGCACAAGAGCTTTGGAGTTGAAAGCTTTTAATGAAAAAGAAGAAATTAGATCAAAACTAGAGGAAACATATGAAGAGAGAGACAGAATTGGAAAGGTATATTTTATGTATATGTTTTTATATTTTATGTATATTTTTCTTGTCTCTACAGTAGAATCTTATTCAGCAGAGGTACAGCTGTGCTAACTGGATGATATCCTGAATTAATCACCAATCAAAGACTGCCTCTGAAAATGTTTTGTCTTGCAGTTTAGTTATATTTGCAATGCTATTTCCTGCACTAGTGGAACTCTGGGTACAGAAATCACTGTTGCAATTCGTAATACAAATCAAATGGTGCTTTTTTTTGCCCTTTAGAGGGATCTAATGTAGTACCTAAGGACACATAAGACAAATGCGTATTTCCTGAATGAACCAACTCTTGCATCATATTGTACAACAAACTTAAATGTTAGTATGTTAATAGTTCTAAAGAAGCTATTTCCTCTGAAAAGAGAAGGAGGGGCTACAGTTACGAGGTACACAATGTATTTTATTAATTACAGGAAATGGACTTGCTGAGGAAGCAAGTTGACTCTCTCGCTGAGGAGAATGGGAAATTACTTGGTCATCAAAATCTAAACCAGAAGATTCAGTATCTTGTGAAACTGAAGAAAGATTACGCTAAACTTACTGAGGTGAGTTGCAGGGTAGAATACAGATGGAGAGATATAAGCTTTTTGAGAATGAAAACTAAAATGCTTGGTCTTATGTTGGAGAGTAATAGATACTTTGGATTTTATGCAGTTGTGTAGGTCATGGCTGGTCTGTCTCCTCACAGGCTGCAGACAAGAATCAGCCCATTTTATTTCCTCAAGTACACAGTGTATAAAACGTTTGAACAACTGTAGATAACACTTAGAAATACGAAAGAAGTGAGTATAGTTTCCTTAACGCCCCCATGTTTTTTCTGTTTTACAGGAGACTGAAAAGCTACGAGTTGAAAATGCTTTTCTGAAAGAAACAAAAAAATGTGAAATATGTAGACATCATGATCAGCTATAATGACACAAATAAAACTGCAGAGCCATATTTTTAAAGTGTACAGAATAAGCAAAAGCTAGTTGTCAAACTTGGCTTTTGCTGTGGTCCCAGAATAATCAAGTATTTTAGTTCCTGGATTTTTTTGCTGGTAATAAGTTTTAGTGAAGAATTTTATTCCAGCAAAGTGGGCAGCTTTCAATGACATATTAACACCTTTCTATAACTTTTCAAAACTGATTTTGAGTAGGTGCTGGAAGATACTTCCTTGAAGCCTTTGTACCTTGCCAAGGAAAAGCTTTCCCACTGGGAACGCACCTGGATTTTTGTTTTCTTTTGTGCTTTTATTCAGGTTCCTACCTCTTCTGAAATCCTACGTTTTTCACCAGAGCGCAATTTTAAAAACCATGATTTCTTTGTGATTTTTTTTTTAAGCTAAACATAGGATGTTTTTACTGGGTTAGTACTAATAGTTAAGAAATTTGACAAATTAGTTTTTATGATTTTCATATTGAAGTTTGTTCAATAAAGCACGAATGTGAATTTAGGAATAGACTTGTAAATAGTACTATAAATATCTTTTGGCTTTGTATTCTTTTCTTTCTCCATTTGAAATTTAAAATGCTTTTTAAATGTTTCTTCCCCAGTATAAACTTACAGCAGACTTCTGTATTAGCATTGTAGGAAATTCTTGGGAAGTATTTTACAACCATTTTCTTACCAAACAAGTTAGAAATGTTAAGAAACAAGACCTGGAAATATGCAGAACGTTTCAGGAGTATAGCATAAGTTCATTTAATCGTACTTAAGATTTATTGCAAATAACTGAAACTTTTATTAGTGGAAAACAAAACATTGGTTTTATATACCAACATCAAACACTTCTGTGTTTTGTCTTTGGTGGTTTTTTTTGTCAGTAATACCATTGTTCTGGATTATGGCTCCTTATACAATACTACTTTTGCCCACAAGCGCAGGGGTAAAAGGGAGTAAGAGACACAGATGTGTGTTAAGGGCAGGATACCTAGAGCTTTTCTTCAGTATTTGAATTTTAAACTACGAATTTTAAAGTTGCCTAATCCTGTGGATTTGTTTCCGCTTGAACTTTGATGTGGAGTATAGAAGCAAAAATCCTGACTTTAAACTGGAGAGGTGTTTTGGGTTTTTTTAATGGAGAAGTAATAATTGAGATCAGAAGTAACTAACAAAGATTACTAGCAATCCAGAGGGGTTTGTCTTAGACCACAACACTGTTGTCTCCTGTGGGCTTTTTTGTGATGTTGTTATTGCTGTCTTCTGGGTTTACAGATGTTCCTTGGAGCACCTGTCTTGTGTGCCTGTTTCAGGACTATTTCCATGCAGGCATGGCTTTCTGCCTCTCCCGCTTTGGGGAGGCACCATCCCTGCTGTACGCTTGCTTACTTGTGGACCTTTCTCCGTGCTGTATGTCTACAGTAGGACTCTCGTTCTCGTATTCCATCCTTTTTTAAAAAGAAATAAAGCCTTTGTACATAAACCACCATCACACGGGTCTCTTTTTTCTTCTCCCCAGAACGGCCGCCCGCCCCGCGGAGGGGCGGCG